TTCGTGTTAATGTTATGCAAGCAGAAGGACCTCCAAGTCCACCCATAACACCCCACATAAATATGCATAGAAAATGCCTAAAAGTTAATTACCGTCAACATTCTGAGTGGCGGCTGGTCTTGGTGAGGAGAGGAGAGGCGGTGAATGTCTGAGGATGGGGCGTGTTCTATGGGCGTTGATTTTAATTTATGGCAGACAAACTTTTCTCCATCCCCAAAATACTGTGGCATCTATATGTGTGTGTGTGTGTGTGTGAGTTGGTAATTTAATATTCATGACCGTGTTAAAATCAATGCAGAAGACGGAGACGAAACAGTTAATGCCACTGGCCCAGGGTCCATAGCAATCTAATTAGCAATATTTTATTTTAACGACCTGGCTGCTAATTTTAATTGAAATTCTATGCTTCCTTCTATCTTCATTTCTTTTTTTCGGGTCTCTCTGTTTTCTATCCATAACATCAAGCATAAATCTCGGTTTACCCCTTTATCAAATTTTAGCCCCGAGCCGACTCCCAATAATTACCCTCATCAAAATTTGTGCACTTCAACTTTAAAGAGCCGAAGAAAATTATTCTGCTTGTGCGGGTGCTTGTTAGGGCCCTTATAGAACATATAAGGGATTCGGGATTCTGATGAAATGTGTTAAGTGAAGAGGTTGGAGGGTATTTACACTTATATTTGATACCCTGTAAAATCCGCTTTTAAGTTTATGCAAAATACTTAAATATCTGCTTTTGGTAGATTGATTTTAGTAATTTTTATGTTATTTTTGCCCAAAAAAATAGTATTTAGTTTTTAGTATAACCTTTGTTATTAACCTTTCTTGATTCTTTGCTCTTTTGGCTAGCTTAATTCCCTTTCCTTCTCACCCCCCCTCACATAGACACTCACATATTAGCATTATGCCGTTTGACATTTGCATTTCAAATGATTCTGCTTGTTGACTTTAATTAGCTGAGATTTGTTGCTGCCCTCGCACTCCTCAGCCCGCTTTTTCTCACCCACATGCTAATAGCTTTTCCCTCAACCCTCTGAAAACCCCTAAAAGACAAGCTTTGGCTAGGTTCTTTTACCAGTAATTGAACCAAAGGACTAAGCTCTGTTATTTACCTTCCATTTGCATAGTTGCGAATACGCCGAAACGAGTTGGGGAAAAAAACATTGGGAAAATTGTGCTCTCTTCCCTTTTGGCATTTTCCGCTTTGGTCATGGAAAGTCTCATTACCAGAGCAACAACCACAACGAATCGATTTCCTGGGCGGGCTTTCCCGGGGCCCAGCTCATACAGGTGGAAAATGCGCAAAAATTCATTGTGTAGAAAAAGTTTTCCTTTAAAGAGGAACAAAAAAAAAAAAAAAAAACAAACAACGGGCGGATGGGTAGACTTCACCTGCCAACGGCTGTTGCTTTTTGCTTTTCCATGTGGGCGTGTTCAGTGGAAAAGTGTATTAAAATGTAAGGAAATTTTGTCTTCGTTTTCCCATGCCACTTTCCCAGCTGTGTTCAGCTGCTTGGAAACAAACATGAGGGGGGAAACCAAACCCCAAGCCCTCCCCTATTCCCCATCAAATAGCCTGGGGACTTGCCCCTTTTTGGCTCTCATCTCTGCGGTTTGCTGCTTGGCAATAAAATTCTTTAAAATTAAGCATAAAATATTTAAATTCAAATTGTTTCAGCCAAAAATAAAATGAACATTTTCGTACGGCTTTAATGGACAGCCAGAATTTATGTAAACTTTTGCCGTTTCTATTTAAATTTGCATTTTATTGCAATTTGTTTGATATTTGCCATTGCTCTTTCTTCTATCTCATAAATTCTTGTTTTATTTTATGTTATTTTATGCATTTGCCTTTTATTACCCAACTCCTGAACAAGGCTGGCTCCTTCAGACCCCCCCCATCGAAGGTATATCCCTGAACATCCTGGCCTTCGTTCTTTAGTATTTTTTTTGTTCTGCGCTCACCAAATGATAATTTATGCAAATGTCTGTAGTCCCGTGAACGAAGACAAAAAATCGCTGAGGGTTGCAACAAAAAGCCTCCCAATTTCGAGGAGCTCTGGATCCATTTTCCATTTCCATTCTAGTTTGCTTTTCGGTGCTGCCTCTTTGTGCTGACATGCTTTTGTCATTTATTTTGTTTATCTCTTTTCCACTGTGCCTTTTGCATGTAACAAATTATTATTATGTTTTCGGCCATTTTTAGCTGATCCAAGCGTTTCCCGAGGCCAGTAAATCCTGCTTTTGACCTTTTTTTTTCGTGGGCTTTTCCTTTTCTGCATTTGAGTAATGAGCTGCTTATCGAGAGGCCAAAAGGTAAAACTCCGCTTGTTCCCGAAAGTTAATGATATGGCTTCATTTTTGGGGAATGGTTTATGCTGAGCTTGGGGATCACAATTTTCTGGTTTAAGAAAAATATAAGAAAAATTTAAGGTTAAGAAACCTGTTACTTTGATAAGTTCTAACTCTCAAATATGCATTTCCTTGCCTTTACTTTATTCACTCCATTACATCAAAGCCTTTTTACTGGAGAGTATTTAGGAGGACGCCATCACTTTCTCCCAACATACCAGCATATCTATCAATGGCACTCTGCCAAATTCTTGCATTAGTTTCGTTTACTTTCCAATTGCTTCGGCATTTTCCGTTTTCCGTTTCCCTGGGAGATAGTTCAACTGCACTAAGTAGCCAATTGACAACTACAAATTGAACATTTATTTCCAGCTGCAGCTCAAAGAGAGTCCAAATGCCCCAGGAATGTGAGTTGAGAGAGTTGAGAGGGGGACTAAATGTTTTACATAGCCATGTAGTAGAAGTAGTAGTAGAATAATAGAATTTTCCCCTAAATTTGCCCAAAGATGTCTCACCAAAAGCAAATAGGAAAAGAAGACACAGCTCCAGGTCTCTATGCAAATGTCTAAGACATGGTTGGATGACTATCACAGATAACGAGCAGAGGCTAGCAGGGGGTGAAGAAGGATACAGCCCGATCCCATTTGTTTATTTGTTTACTTTTTGCCATTTGCCTGCATGCAAGTTTTCCCTCAACTTGATAGGGGTTTTCCCCTCATCATATTCGTCGTATTTTTGTTGTCGTCATTATTTTTTTTTTTTGGCTTTTTTCCTTCTCTTTGGCCATGAATATTTTCATATTTTCATGTGACCACTTTGGACTTCTACTGCCACTGCTTATTCCACTGGCTCCTCCTGCCTTATCCTGGCAATTGTGAGCAAAACTTTCGGCTGCTGTTGCTCCCTCCTCGGCGGTCGCATGTGTAGGACCATGTTATTTAATAGGCTTTTGTGACTTGGAAGACGGGCAGCAAATGGCTGAAGGTTCGGAACAGTGGGACAAGTTGATGAAAAATGTCATGGATTTTCAAGTTTCAAAAATATTTTGCCATATTTATTTATTTATTTAAGTTCAGCTTTTTAGTTGAGTTTAGTTTTATATTATGAGAAAATATTAATAAATATTTTTAATTAATTTATTACAATTTGGAAGAAAATTAAAAGTTATTTGATTTTCTGATATTTCTTTAAGTTTTTAGTTACTTTTTTCTAATAGAAATATATTTTTATAAGAATTAATATTTCGCCATAAAACACACGAACTCATCCCACTGTCCAAAACATATCCTCTTTAGTATCCCAGGTCTCCTTGTCTTCCCCTGCCTCTCCTAATATATTTCCATCTCTCACCCTCGGTGTTTGTTTTGTCTGTCTGGGAGTCCTTTGCTGCCTTTTCGGAGTCGTCTACATGTGTTTGCCCCTTGTCGCTATCCTTGCAACCCCTTAGTGCCCCAACCGCAACCGCTTCCGTTTGTTTGCACAGTGGCTGCTGTGTTTTGGTAATGCGTTCAGATTATTAAACATATTTTCTGATGCCTGACAAATGGCAGGACAAACGGTGGCAAGAAACTTTCAACATGAATAAAAGAGAGATATAGCCTCATACTAACGCCAGAATTTCCGCAATTAAGAAAAGCTAGTTACTTTAAGTGTTCAATAAAAAAAAAAGCAGAAACAGTAGCTGTCTCTAAGCGTAAGTAGGTCAGGCCATTAAAATTGCCACGCCAGGCGAAACAGAGAACACACTCTGTGTGATTGGTGTTTGGAGGAGGAACAGGAATATACTGTATCCTATATGGTTTCCTGCTCCTTGTTTAATCGTTAAAGGAATTCATGGTTTGTTTCTGTGTTTTTCCCTCCTTCTGGTTGCTCAAGTTTTCCTATGCGTTGACATACGAAAAAAGGGGGGGAGCCCCATATACAAATTCTTAGATCGCAAACACACGAACTTGCAACTCGACCATAGAGGAAGCCACCTGCCGTCGACTAGCATACACACTTTGGTTAACTCCCTCGACTCTCGCTTTCAGAAGTTGCTGCTAAATGCTTTCTGATTGTTATTTTTCGTGTTTTCCTCGACTTCCTGCTCTCGCTCTCTCCCTTTCTGGCCCGGCGAAATTACAATTATTACACGGACCCAAACTCAAGTTTTCCACTTCTTGCAGTTCACTTCTGCCTCAGCTGCTTTCCCTAAACTTTGGTTTCTGCCGCTCCAAATGCAAAATCTGGTAATGTAGGCGTGTTTAACACAAACTTAAGTTGTTCGTAATGACTTTGTAGCAAAGACGATGGGGATGGAAACGGATGAGGTGGTGGGAGAAGGTAGATTTGGCTGGAACAGGAACTTAAGATGGTCCTCTTAAAGCTCACAGCGGGAATTTAATGAAAAAAGTTTGCAATTTGAAAAGGACATCTTAATGGAGTGGGACAAATTACAAAATGATGCGAAAGTTTTACGATAGAGAAGGAACAAAATTGGTAAATTATATAAAATAAAAAAGAACATGTATTAGTATAGGGAATGGGAATGGAAAGTTCATAGATTAACACACTATTAGACTTTATTTTCGACTTTTATTTGTTTTTATTTTCAACTTATAAACTTCTAACTGCTTAGCATCTTAATACTTTTGAAATTTAAGTCCATTACTTAAGGCAACTTTATTTGGTGGCTGTCAGTTCAGAAAACCATTTTACCAAATTTCAAAATTAATATAAAGCCACGAACCAAATCTTCTAGTACATCCACCTAAGTTTCCCTTTAACCTAAAAACCATGGAGGAGGATCTGGAATTCCTTATCAATGCCCTCTCAGTGCCACATACCCCGTTGACCGAGCCTTATGGCGAACAAGAACTACTGGAGATGCGTGAATCCTTCAAGACGCTGCAGAAGTTCCTTCGTCGCAGTTCCTTGCCCATCGAGGCCAGCCTGCGCTCAATGCCGAGGTCAAAGGCTGGCGGGGATACGGACAGGCTGAAGGAACGGGCTCTGTCCTCGATGATGGCTCTGTTTGCAAACGATTATGAACAGCCCAACGATCAAAATAATGGTTCTCAAGTCTGGAACTCAGCGGAAAGTGGAGTCCGCTCTTCGCCCATCATTTCAGAGTGCGGCCTGAGGGATCAGGGTAAGGAAAGTCTTTTATGCGAGAGTTCCTGGAGTGATATTGGAGACCTAGCAATGGTGCCCTATGAGAAACTCTCCAACGAACGAAGCAGTTCGGAGTCCACAATTACCGGAGAAAGTTTCTCCTCTTCGGGGATCTCGATTAGCATACCTGTTAACCTGGTCTGGAACAACAACGAATACAACTCGGAGAGCACGGACAGTGAAACCACACTTGTAGCAGACGGCCTAAGATACAGTATACAAAATTAGATTTGCATAACTTTCAGAAGATTCAAAGATTATCCACATCAAGTTTTAGGCTAGCACAAAGAGTTTTCATTCTAAAAAAGTTTTCAAATATTTTTTATAAATGGTAAATAAATCGTAAGTGCAGGCAGTTTTCTTAAAAATTTTCCTTGATAATTACTTTTCAAATACATTGAGATTTTAGAAAGCCTTTCCACTCAGTGAGACCCCTTCACATGCTCGTATACTCAACCTCTCTCTGCGATTCTCAACAAGTTGAACTGAGAAGTGGATAGTAGATCAGGGATCAACGTCATCAAATTAGAACGCATGACCTGACCCCAGACACAGTTTTAATGAGTGAGCATACACCGGCATGTAGGTATGAACCCTTTGCTTAACCCATGCCGGCCACTCATGGACGGTTGCAATGGAACTTGTAAAAGTGATTAAAACGGAAATTTAATTGAAATGCGCACATTTGCGTAGGCATTTGCCCATTTCCGTTTGACTGGGCACGCAAACCACTCTCGGATGCTCAGATACCGGCATATAGAATGCCAAATGTTTGTCTACAAACAAATGGCCGGCGGTTATTTTGCATAGAACTCATGATGATGGTTTGAGATTGGGAGATCTATATACACATATTTTTGAATTCTCTGTTCCAGGGTGTAATTTCAATATTTTTCTGCTGTTTGCCTGCGTGCGTGCGTTTGGCAATTTCCTCGACTACCGAAAAATCTAATTTCATTTTGTATGAAATTTGCTTTCTGTCCGTTTCGATTGCGCTTTCATTTGTATTGAAATGTTCGCCAGGGACTGGCTTGAACAGGTGAGGCCTTCGAGCAATTTGCTTTCGCTTTTCCTGCTTTTGATTTTCCCCATATTGCCATCATTTCAAGAGTTCGCTTGTGTGTGTGTGTGAATGTGTTTTGTGGGTATTTCTCAGACTGCTGTTTTGTTGAGGGAAAAGAGATTTGGGGCAGGGAAAAACCTGGCCTGGTATATGACCATTTATTGTTATGCATATTAAGCGTTGGCATGTACGGAATGGAATGCCAGAAAAGGACTCCACAAATGCAATAAAAATGTTGTATGCCAGCAATTAGTTTAATGGTCGATCTGAAGGAGGGATAAGAAAGTCTTAAGGGAGTTAGGGTATTTAACGATTTCTGGTCTGGGTTTTCTTTGGTTGCATTTTATGATTTGCTGAATTGGAAGTAAGGTATATGAATGTAGGATGAGCAATTGTCTGAGTCTTATCCCGCTGAAGTAACCTCAGCACCTTTCTATGCGATTCTCAATAACCTAACTTGACCTTTTTGGTCTTTTTCAACATACCTCCAAAAACTGCGCTCTTTTCAACGTGTTTTCATTCAGTTTTCTAGACGCTTTTCTTTCATATAGTCCGTTCTTTTCATTCATTTCATCATATACAGGCAGCACGTTCCCGCTTTAACCCTACACTGCCCTTCTCACATCTCTATCTCTGCTGGTTTGCTAGTCTCGCTCTTGTGGGGCGTGTAATTGCAAATCCAATTAATTTACGAACTAGTCACAGCAAATGTGCTACTAAGGAAGACATAAATAGCACAAGACTCCCTACTTTACGCTCACAGCCAGCCAATGTCTGGGCTTGTGTTCCAGAATTTAAAGTGTCTCATGTGGATCTGGCATTGGATGGAGTGCTCCGACGAGTGTTTGACGCCGTTTTTGGAAGTGCTTTTGAGTGCTCAGGTTGACAAATGCCCAACAATTAAGAGAGAGTAGTTCTTGGGAATTTATGCTGACGAAGATGATGGCCCAGAGCCCAGGGCCCAGGAGTTGCCATGGAAATCGAAAAGCAAGTCTTGGGGAGTGAGCCGTTGCTCAGCTCCTCACTCCTCCGGATCATTTCGGGTAGATGAACATCCATTTCGCTTTAATGCTTCCGTGGCGAGCATTAAAATACAACAAAAAATGAAAACCTGAGGAAGAGAAATTATGCTAATAAATCGCAGCGACACGTGTCGTTGTACTCTCGTTTTAGTCCCCTTACCCTGCTAATGGACATGCGCCACGAAATATGCATTGAGTATTTTTCAAACTGCCACATTGTTGCACTGCTCTGGATTATTATGAACTCCGCTGTGGCACTCCTGCACGTGGTGTTTACACATCATTTACATAAAACGAGCAACAACTTTTTTGCAATTTCTTAACGAACAACGAAAGGAAAACCCGGCCCAACAAAGTTGTTAATTATACTTGACTGGACGACACAGCTCCGGTCTTTCTTTTCCATTTTCTTTACTTTTTTTTTTTTTTTTTTTTTTTTTTAAATACAAAAAAAGGTATTCGGCCTGGTGCTTTGCTCACTCAGCCTTTGATAATGAAACGGTGGGATGGGGAAGGGATTTTCCAGGACCTGCCCGCTTATGACGTGCTGGAAGAAACCATTAATCAAAGCTGCATCGCCTGGGCGAGTCTAGCACGGCAGTTTTACATATATTTTTCCTTCTCAGTTCTTTTTTCTTTCTATTTTTTTTATTTCTTATCCAAAGCGGCGGCCTCTTTTAACGACTCCAAAATGGCAAGTTGTTCTGTACCAATGTCGATGTTGGTCGCGTGCGTAACATTCGGCAGGGAGCATGGCCCTGAAACGGCTGCCAGATTAAACAATTTTCAGGGCTAGCGGAAAAAATGTGTACTGCCTAATTGTAGTAATTAATGAGTTTAGTTTACAGTTCTGATGAGCTATGAGAGGGCAGGCGAAATTACCCGATGATTAATGTTGTATACCGAAAAAACTTTGCGGAAGGTGTGCAGATATGATAAGTAAGGGCGGAAGTTATTAATTAACTAGGTTTTAGATATATAAATAATATATAACCAAATAGGAGAATCTTTAATTTGTTTACTGAGAAAAACATGCACCATGCACCCACAACCTTTTGGCCTGTCTGTTCCAAACTTCCTGCCGAAAAGGTGCAATCCAAAAATTTAATTACATGCCCCAGCGAATCGTAAATAAAGCCAGTTGACGCAGCCAGAGAAGCCACAGACAATGCCCAGTTGCAGATACGAGTTTAGAGTACTACAAACAAATATTTTTAATAAGTGTAGAGCCCGAAGGGTTTCTATCATCCACGTGCGTTGTAGTCACCCGGCAACCTTGGGCTTTCCCTTTACATTCTACACAAAATTGCAATAAAACGTATGGCTGAGCAATTGTGCTGCGGACGAGTAATTTATAAATACACTTTCCCAGTCTCTGGACTGCTGCTAAACTGAAAATCCTTTCTATTTTCCAATGATGCTGCTGTTGAGCCAAACTAATTTCCCGGACAAACATGAAACGGCCCCGGTTGATGCAACCCCCGGACAAACACATCCCTCGGAAAATGACTGAGGAATAAGGAGAGGGGAATCCGTTTGAAGGTGTATGTCTGTACGTGGATCGCTTTTAATACCGCTTTTCGTCTGTGAGATTTTCGGTGGTTGCTGCGTTGCCATGGTGGGTGCTTTTCCCAGCAGTGACTTTTCCCTATTGCCAAAGTCGCCTTCCTTTTTTTTTCCAGGTCGCTTAGTTAATTTCCACTGCAGTGCAACTCCATGCAGTGCATTCAAAATTAAATCCTCGACGGACTATTTGTCATTTTTGACAGTTCAAACGGCTTCGAGGAGGGGTAAAAGTCGACTTTTGCGCAAAAATTACGGCTTATGGCGGGACATTTATTTTCCTCTTCTATCCCTCAACTTTATATTCCCTCAGCGTCGCAGCTTCTGTTGTCAACGCGATCTGCTGTTGTTGTTTGTAATTAGAGATATTGGAAAATATTGAAGTAAGTTAAGGGAAAATGTTTATCCAAGAATGTGTTATGAAAAGCTGCGAAATCAAGAAATTGGAGAAAATATCCTCCTAGAGAAAAGTGTTTTATAATTGGTTGGAATATTCCTTCATTTTCTCACGTCTATTGCCAAAATTGAACCGCTCATCTTGGTCCCTAACTTTTTCCCATTCACATAAATCTATTCTAATCCCCTTTACTTATAAATATTTGGATTTTAATCTGCTCACATAACCGACTCAGCAGAAACAAAATACGCCACTCGCATTGTATTCCCAGAGGGCGGTAAAAGATTAAAATCAAATCATCTCGTAAATTGCCACAACTCTTTGCTGCCCAGCAGACAAATCCTGCACCAAGGATATTAACGCCTTAGTCCGCTTAATGTAACCCCCTCGAAGGACTTTAAACCCTTCTCCCCTGTAGACATTCGGCAAAACATAAATCATAAAGCATAATAGACCAGGCGCAGACATAAAAAAACGAAATTGAAAATGAAATTTGCATTCAGCGCACATGACGAAATTCGCCTTTAAGTACATAACAATCAAAAATTATGGTTTTATGAGACCAAGGAAGGGGTACTTCTCTGGGATTAAGGAGCTCGGGTGAATGGAAGCCTGGCAACAGTTGCGAAACGAATCAAATGGGAGCCACAAATGCCATTCGTTTCCATTGTCAGTCAGTCGCTGAGTGGGGTGACTTTCTATACCCCCCCGTCCGCCCTATTAAAAAGTTTTGTCAAGTTAAATTACCAAAAATTGCAAATTGCTTGGATTAAACACGACGGCGAACAGGGACAAGGACATGGCCACTTTCACTTCCTGCTGGCCATTGTGTGGCTAAAGGATTTCATACACTCAATATAATTAAGGGTTCGAGCCTTCGGGCCCTCTTCCCTTGGCCCAAAAACTTTGTGTCCAGGCAACAATTTTGGCAGTGCGGCCATTGTGTGGCTCTAGCTATGGGCCAGAGAGATTGTGTCGCCGGGCATTCTGAATTGTATGTTAAATTAAATTTTACCACAGAGACCAGTCTGGCCAAGTTATTGAGCCTGTGAGTCCTCGTCGTCGTCCTTTAACCAGTGGTTGGCTAGCTGGCTGGCTGCTCCTGTGGCTGAGTGGGATTGCTTGGTCGGCTTGTGGCATTAAGTTGTCAGTTTGTTGAGCCTGACAGATTTTTCATTCTCAGGAGAAGGAGCACGTGGAGGAGGGAGCTGTTGGTCAAAGTTTGTTTGGCCTGTGTGTTTAGGGTCATAGATAGGCATATGGAGTTAATAGTACATCTGTACTGAGATGTTAAGTTTGAACAAAATATATTTCCCTTTGA